ATGAATGGTACCTCGCGGAGTTGAGCCATGTGAAGAGTCAGGCGACAATCCTTGGACACCGCTTGCGAGGCTCGAGTCCGTAACGTCGCCAGCGGGAGTGTAAGAGCGCTGGGAAGTGCGACCACAGCCGGACGTGAAGCAGTCGACCTCGGCTGAGAGAGAATCGATATAACCGGGAGCCTACTCGGCGAAGGAGCAGCCGGAATAGACTGAGCTGGAGCTGGATCAGGAGTCGACGGAAGCTGCCGATGCTTGTGGTGTCGGTGCGTCTTGTGATGCTTCTTGTGCTTCTTGTGCTTCTTGGATCGCTTCGACCGATGACCGGTAGGACTCGACGAGGCACGACGTTTGCGATGCTGCTGTTTCCCCGAAGCCGGCGCAGAGGCAGAACTCGTCCCGTCACCAGAATCCTTCGATGAAGGCCGCGAGAGTGGCGATCACTCGGCGGCAAGGACTCATCGCTCATCTCGTCGTCAAAACCGAAGATCGCCGCATGAATACTTCTCGCTTGGGCAGAACGACGAGCATCTGCGGTCGCTGAGTCGGAACCTGAAGGACTGCCAGCCGAGTTCTCTGATAAGGAAATGGGATCCAAGAGCGACCCAGCGGCAGGATTCGTCGAGCCGGTGGACGGTACAGAACCATCACCAGGCCCTAACACCTCGTCGTCAGACGCGTCGAGATCCTCAAGCAGCTGAGCAGTCACAGTGCGGGCGGTCGCAGCAGATCTCCGGATAGGGCGCCCAGATGGGGACGTCAACACGGCAGTGGTCACAGGGAGAGACGGTCTGAGGACACTCACGGCCGGAGTCACTAAGTCAGTCGGCGTGGTGGATACGCTCAGACCCCGAGAGGGCGACTGGGAGCGTCCAACCACCGTTAGCACGACGCTGAGTGGTGCGCTCGACTGGGGCAACCCAGCGGAGATGGGCGAAGTCGAGCCTGGGGCACACACGCTCGTAGCCGGGACAGACAGTGAAGCCACGACATCGGATGAAGATATCGGCGGTGGGCGAGTAGCCGCGACTGACGAAGTCACCGGAGGACCAGAAGACGAAGAACCCGCCGAAGTCGCCGAAGCGACTGCAGGAACGGTGTCGGCGGGCGGCTCAGCAACTCAAACTCAAACTCAGCTTCGCTCGAAGCGTCATCGTCGTCTTCAGAGCGAGCAGAGACAGCGGGCTGAGTAGCAGAACTCAGCTGAAGGTGACGAACCTTCTTCCGCCGAGTCCGACGACGGGACTTTCCAGAGCGAGGCCTTCCTCCATCGGATACAGTAGCTTGAGGTGAACTTGAGTGCAAAAGGGTACTGATAGCCTCGTGTCCATCCTCTCCGGGGAGTGGACAAGCGTACAGTTGAGGCGGATGCGGCGCCGGTGCACGATGACGAGGACCTGCAGCAGTGGGAGACTTGGGGTTGGCATAACGCCGAAGCCGCTGAGTCGAGGTCAAGTCTGCCAAAGGCGTACGGTGAAGCTGAGCAAGAGTCGGCTCAGCCTGGGTTGTTACCGCCGCTGAGCTGACTGGAGCCGCAGCTGAGTCTGCCAATGAAGTCGCTGAAGACGCTTGACTAGCTGAGGGAACCACAATAGGACCAATAATGGAACTCGCCAGTGGAGCATCTCGGCGAGGATGGACAATCAACTCCAACCGCCGAGTTTCACCAGCGGGGATGTTGAGAACCTCAGGAAAGCGAGATTCCAAGACACGACACAGTCGGGCGTTGAGGAGAAGGTCGGACGGATCAAGCCCAGGAACTTGCAAGCCACCGCCAGCAGCAGCAGCCATGTGAGGATCGTGCATCGGAATAATACCATTCCGTCGGATGAGCCGCTTCTGTCGCAAGATCACAGCCCGCTGCTCAGCGATCACCGACTGAGCGTGCCGCAAGGGTTGAGTACCGGTGGAACTGTACAACCGCACCGACTCCTGCAGCTGTTCGAAGTGCTTGGAAGCAATGCCCTGAAGAGTGACGAACGCCGCATCCCTCTCAGAAATGGATCGGAGAAGGACGTCGATCTCGGCGTCCCGATCCAAGACTTGCTGATGGTGGAGCTGGGCTTGACTCAACGCAGCGTCAACCTTGCTCTGCTCAGCTGCGATGGCCCGAGCAAGTTTTGCCTCACTCAGAGCTACAGCCTTTCGCAGCGACGCGAGGAGATTAGCCGATTGCGTGGCAGCAGCCTCCAATCGAGACACTTGCTGTTGAGCCGACGAGAGCTGAGTTGACAAGTCGACATTGCTGAGAGCGAGCGAGTCCAGTCGCCGAGTCAGTGCGCGGTTCTCCTCCTGAACAGCTTGATTGTCAGCTTGGAGATCGCCGATGATCTTTGGATAATCAAGCGCGGCGTAGTTGCTATTCAAGATATCCAACAGTTCCCCCGCGGAAGCAGCATGCAAAATCGCTCGCCGCTGCACGGGATCGGAGGGCTCCACGGAACGAGTAAATCCGTAAGCCATGAGCCTCGCCAAGAAGGTCAATTCTTCTCGGCGATCATGCCCTTGCTCGTTAATTCTGGCCATGAGGGAGTCAAGACTCACTGGAGCAGCCGAGCTTGGCTGATTGGTGGCGCCCGAAGTGGTGTCGCCCGGCAAGCTCGGTGGACCAGGAAGGCGCACGCGAGAAGACTCTGCCGACTCCGCGTCAGACTCATGGGAAGTTGTCAGGTCAACCAGCCCAGCTTCATGCCGGTCGCTGACCCCACGAGTACCGACGGGTCGAGGAATCGACTCAGCTGGCACGCCTTCACCTCGACGAGGAGTTGGAGAAGAAGGATGGTGCCACGGGTTGTGCTGGAACAACATGCGAAGAGTAAGGAGCTGCCAAGTGAGTGACAGCGGAAGCAACGAACGTACCAAAGAAGGTGGTGGGAAGCCGCGAGACGTCATCAGCCGAGTACGGACCAACGGTGGCAGAACAAAATGAAGGATTAAGACACTCACCAGCTCGGCTCGTATCATAACCGGGACAGTTGTGGTGTAGGGATTTCCAGATTCGACCGTACGCCGACCTACTTTAGGTCAAGAATCGGCTCGGTCTGATAACCCAGAGCTTAGGAGCCAAGGATCACGGTAAGTACTCGGCGATCTGTCCGGATATGCTATCCGGACAGCCGCTGAGCTCAATGGTCGCCGGAACTCAGCTGAAGGGTCGGTAGAGATCCGAAACGACTACATTTCATTAGATATTTGTATGAGAAGCATAGGATTAAATAGGGGGAGCCGAAAGGGCTCCCAGAAGATAACACAGCAGAATTTTCCTAGTCCAAGACACGTGTATACTTTTCCGGTAAGTCCCTGCATAGGGCTGGATTATGCCTGCCGTCAATACTCGAGAGGCATAGCTTGTAGGGTATTGACTGGTAGCGCCAAGAGATTAGGTCGGTCCGGGTAGGACAAAGTCTCGCTACGCGCGAAAGAAAGTCCCGCATACTCAGCGGGCCGGTACGTCGGATAGCCCGGGTGCCGTAACACTTCTAGCTGAGCTGCCTCTGCACTCGGTGACCTGTAAAAGCGCTCGCGCGCCGTCGTCCATCCTTTGGTGGAGGGCACAGGGTTGTGAACGAGCTCAGCCGAACCAAACTCGGCGGAGCCTCGGAAGTGATCTGACTTGGTTAGTCGGAACCGAGTGGAAGCGAGCCACTCGTCTGTCCCGGAAGGGCCGGACCGCGAGGGAATCACCCTCTGCGCAGGCCATACAACCGCCGACCTAACTCGGCGATTCGCTGTGGTTTGTGTAAGGAATCCACATCTGACGATATTTGTGTGTTCTACTACACCACACTTAGCTATAATTCTGACCTCAATTTGCACAGTATCACGCAAGTGCCTTCCTGCCCTCAAGAATCGGAACTACATTGGCCGTACGAACTCGGTGAAGGTTGGAAATTGCGAATCAAGTGCTGGTAGTGATAACTGGATAATATATTGGCCAGATCCTACCACCTAGTGAGCTTTCCTTTACACGTGTAGATCCGAAAGGGTAACCGAATTTACTACTTGGCCGGGTATACCTAAGAGGCTCTCAACTTTCAAGATCCCGCTACAGGAAGCGGCAAGTACGACGCAAAGGAAAACAAAGGCAAGGGAGCATCCCCACAAGGAACCCCTACGGCCAGATCCCAGATCCAGGCCCTGGATCCACCAAGCTCGAACATTCGCTTAGGATCCGTAAACAACTACGGACGCAGAGTGAAGATCTTACCACTACCGCTCCACCCCATCCCCACGTCTCGCCAATACACTCAAGCTTCACCACTTGAACTCTTCGGAAGCTACTGAGAGAGCAAGAAAGTTCAGCAGATCACGGATCATCAGGGAATCCTCTCCGTTAGTCGGTGGCTGGGCGCTGTTGATAAGTTGGATCCAGCAATCCCGCAGATTTTGCTAACCCCGCTACGCCACACGGAGCTTGTACATTTGAAACGTGTGGCTCTTGTAGCTACATAACAATCGTATATGTTAAAAAGATAGAAGCAAATTTTAGGCGTAGGCTATCAAATGCAGCTTCCACAGCATTCCATGAGTTGAATACCCCATGGAACCGAGGACAAGTGACAACAGGAGGAGTGTTATCGTCGCTCCATGAGCTCACGGACGACGCCGGGCTGCTCTTCTTCGTTTTGGCCGGGGAAGTGGGGCTCTTGGCATCGTCTTGTTGACGGCTGACCGGGATGGAGAGAGTCTGGAGTACAGCAGTGTCGTCCTCGCTGTCTGAGCTGTCGTCGATCCTCGGAGCGCGCCGGCCGCGCCTGGCCTTCTTCTTGGCTGCTGATCCCGCTATCGGGGGGGGGAGCGGAATAAAAGGACAGGGTAGTAGAGTTTTTCGAATTTCAGAAATGGCGGACTGGAAAATACCGATATCTGCGTGTACCTTTTACGGTCAAATAGTTGGTCCACGTAGTTTTACACTTTCTTTTTTTTTACGAAATCTGTTATTAATACTCATTATCCGGTGCTACTCGTTCGTGCAATTACCGGTAGTGGCTGTATTCTTCGTCTTAGCCGGCGTTACAATGCACGTGGTGTAATGTTGTGAGTGCCAACGCGCCGATGCCGATTCCGAACATGAGAAGGTTGACCACAAACTGACCCACCGACTTGACACGTAGAACCCCGGGTAGCAAGTCAGTGCCTGCAATGTACACGAGCGTTCCCTGTTCATTAGAGATAAATACTTGTACGTTAGTATCATAAAGTATAGCCCCACAAGAAATACAGTCGCAACATACCGAGCCAACAGCGAGGAGCAGTCCCATCGTCTCGTTCGTGACGGGCACAGCAGCCAGTACGACAATGGCTCCGATGAAGGCCGAAAGGGCGCTGAGGAAGTTGAAGAGAACAGCCTGGAACGGCGTGAAACCGGACTCGACGAGGATGATAAAGTCTGCGAACTCCTGCGGCAGCTCGTGAAGAATAGCCGAGACCGTGACTGACACGCCTAGCGAGTCATCACAGGCGAGGAAGGCGGTGGCGATCAGCACACCGTCCACGAAGTTATGGAACAGGTCGCCCAGCAAGATAATGTAGGCCATAGGCTTAATTGTGTGCCAGTCGACTTGGAGGCTGAAGGTGGATACACCCGACTTGTTGTTCCATGAGGGAGCTGGGGTGGTGACTTCCGCGTTGTAGTCGCCCGTCTCGGGAGTTCCCGACTGTTTGCCAGCCGCCTCCGAGAGCACGTTGGCCGGTGAATTGAGAGGCATGGACGTCGGGAGGTGGGTGTGACTATGGGACTCTCCACCTACAATGCTCACCCAGAGTTCGAGTGCCATCTCGACGACCATCGCGACCACAAACCCGATCGTGAACATCATACTCAACGTGAGGTTCATCTGGCCGTATTCACTGTAGAACTCGATAGATTCTGGCAGCACATGCAGGAAGGCGGCGCCGAACAACGCACCTGCAGAGAGCGCGATCATCGCGTCCATGACCTTATGGAGGACGTTGATACGGAGAATCAGCAGCAGGATGCCGACAATCGAAAGCAGAGCGACGATCGCCACAGCGGCCATTGTCTTGGCCCACACAGCCGACGTGGCGCTCCTGGCTGTTGACGTTCCTTCGTCTTCCTCCTCTTCCGCTGCGATACTCAACGCCACGTCAACTTGTTGTCCTTCAGCGTCGAGCACTTGCATGCCAAACTCCTCGATCGCGTTGTGTTGCATGTGGAGCGCGTAGTATCCGGCTTCATCGACAACCAAGTTGACCGTCATAGGCTCAGACGCCAGTCGTCGGCCGTGCGCGCCTGGGCCGTCGCAGTGGTCACCGTGCCACGTGTTGTTCGGGTTCGCCTCGCATTCGGCTTGTAGCGCTGCGAGCTCCTCGGCATTATTGCGCTGCACCACATACAGCAGTTGATCGGTCGGCGCCATGTCGCGTGACGCCTTGACAACGTTGCGGGGCAGCGTCACGTCTTCAAGCAGCGCTGTTGACTTGTCCACAGACGCCTCCAGCTCCTCCTGTGTGACGGTATCGGTCACTGAAATGTTCAACGGCAGCACGAACATCGCCATGTTCTCCGTGTTGCTCGCAAAGGAGACGGTGTACGTTCCGTTCTCGAGTGCCATCGCCATTGACAGCTCCCAGGAGATGCCACCAGCCGGACAAGACGCGGTAGTTCCAGCTGTAGCGATACACTCGACACCTTTACTCTCGTATCCTTGTTCGCAGTGGCAATGGTTCCCATGGAGCTCACCGTGGCCACTGCATGCTTCTTGTGCCGTAGCCGGCAACAAGATCGCAAGCGTGACTAGCGAGAAAGCAATGAAGGCACGGAAAGGTGGAGGCATTCTGGAAAGGGAAACTGGAAATGACTTACTTATCGTTTTGCATGGTGGTGCTCGGAACGAAGTCCGTAGGACTGCAGGATCAGAGACCTTTTGTCCGACGGCGGCGCGATTCACCCACTGCGAAGTCCGGTGCGTCCACTGGTCGTGAATGCGTATCCGACGACGGCGATTAGAAGAGACTAAAGTATTTATTAATAAGTAGGTTAGTCAAGTTAAACTGGTGACACCATGTCAGTGAACAGGTACATGTACCACATTTGTCCGACGGCGGCGGTCGAACAGCGAAGTCTTTGCAATCAGGTCGTGAATGCTGCTCCTTCGGTCTCACATCCACCAAAAGTGGTCGAGGACTTCGGGTTTCATTTTCCATTTCTCCACCAAGTCGTTGGTCTTTTATTCTCTATAATATGAATCCGCTCACCGTCGCTACGATCGCTCTGGCTACTGTCGCCACTGCTGCGGCTCAAGACTCGCACTCACACTCGCACGCTTCGGAGTGCACGGCCGAGTCCATTACGTCGGCGAGAAACGCATGCGACTCCGTTGCGGATGTCTCGCAACTCAAGTGCGATAGCGACGCGTGCCACGAGGCTCTCCACTCGCTCGTGGAAGACGAAGTGCGCCAGTGTTACGTCGATCTAGGACTCGGCCCGATTACCGATCTGAATTACTACGTCCAGCTCGACGAGTTCTGCCACGGGGATGGTGCCGATCCGGCCGATCTAGCGGCGACAGGCTCCACTGCCGGCACCAACTCGACGAGCTCCGGCACCGGCGGCGCAATTGTGGGCGACCACGATGACGACCACGATCACAGCCACGACCACGATCACGACCACGACCACAGCCACGATCACGACCACGATCACAGCAGCCACGACCATGACGAGTCCGCATCAGCTTCCTCTTCAAGCTCGTCCGCTTCCACTGTCGCTCAATCGCTAGTGCTGCAACTTGTGGCGGTTGCCGCTGTGGCGATGCTCTTGTAAGAAGATCAAGCGAGTGCTTTTGACCAGTTTTGCAGAGGGCATACACGAAAAAGAGCTAACGTAATGAGTCTAATAAAACATTTATAAATAGTACTACATGTGAATATTATTGCTGTGCTATTATGCTGTTATTTTTAATACTCGAGTGCTAGGATCAGACTTTTGTAAAAACAATTGCACGGCTTAGTAAGAGCATTTCCACCAGTTGGGACAAAACAACAAAATTTAACCAACGGATGACTTTTTGGGCTCGCACCAGTTCGACAAAACACGGACTAAATTTGCCCATCGACCATCCTCCGCTGACAAAACACTACCTTGTGCGACCCTTCAGCGCTCAATGTACGAACGAAATCTTCTCGAAGATGCCAGCACGAGAGAAGGTAGCGCGAGGGCGTAAGTATGCTGTAGCTGAAGATTTGGAGCTAGCGCGAGCATGGGTACAGGTGTCTACCGACGCATTAGTCGGAATTAACCAGACCGCCAAGGACTTTTGGTGTCGAGTAAAGGATATTATGGAGAGTTCAGAGCTCATATCGGTTGCTCTAGCATCAGGAAAGATGCCAAGTCGTACGTGGTTAAGCCTCCAGGCGCATTTTGGTCAAATTCAAAAGTCAATTGCAAAGTATGTTAGCTGTTCGACTCACGTTGAGTCTCTGAGAACGTCTGGATCAACTGAGAGGGATATGATGAAGCAGGCGTTGGCGTTGTATAAAGAGCGCTACAACCAGCATTTTGCTTATGTAGAGTGCTACGACTTGCTGTCCAGGTGCCCAAAGTTTGAGAAGGGGCTTGATAGAGTTTCAGGTCGCGGGCAATCTTTATGCTCTGGGAAGCGTTCTGTGTCTGAAGAGGAAGCTGAGACTACAAACATTGGGCAAACACTGGCCGGTCCACCTACCAGCGATAACACAGAAAACGAGCGTCCCAACGTCGGGGTTAAAGCTGCAAAACGAGGTAAAGTAGAGAGGTTGATTCCACTTGGAGCAGTAAAAGCCCAGGAAACACTTGCATCGTCGATGACCCTAAAGGTGAAAGTGTTAAAGGAGCAGCTTCACATCAATCAAGCCCAGCAGCGCCTCCAAGAAGAGCAAGTGCTACACACAATGCTCAACGGGCTTTTTAGTACTCTGCCAGCAAGCCGTGAGCATGCTACGTACCTAGAAAACCGTCGTGCCAACTTGCTGCGTCGCCTTGATACTGTGAGAATGACCTCACCTCAAATGCCTCCATTAGACTCCGCCACCGCCGCCTCGCAAGATTTAGCTGCTCTGCTATCTTCGGATGCAAGCTCAACACCATCCTCACCAGAAAACGTGGATGCTACAGCTCAAGATCGACTATTTCCGAGTGATGAGTCTTCGACACCACCAAGCACATTATCGACCGGTGACAATTCATCTCTAGCGACTTTCGCTTCACAGGACTACAACCTACCACCGTCATCGGACATTTCATCCACGCTATCGTCTTCGTTCACGACGGCAAGTTTTCCACCGCTAACTCAATTATCTGATACTCCAGCTTCGTCGATCGAGTTCACTGACTAGGATGTTTTTCACGTGACTACTTTGTTTTTTATCAGAAAGCTAGCAAATTCATTCAAGAATTAACGTTAATAAAAAAGTCTTGTCAGCTCACGTTCTTTATTTTATTTTAATCGTCTGCTTCACCAAAACACTTCCATACGTGTTCAACTAAGTCGACCTGCAGCTGAGCGTGACGTGAAGCGTTCTCGATCGTATTAATGCGTGCTGTGAGCTCACCGAGCGATCTAGGTCGATATCCAACTGGTCGTGAAACGCGAAGCTTGTACAGAGGATTTTCTTGCTCGTCGTCAAACAAATATCCGTGCTCATCGACTGAAGAGAAACGATTCTCTTCACATATCATGTTGTGCAGGATAATGCAGGCTCGCCTAACCTTATTCATGTTCAGCCGTGAATGTAGTTTGCACGGTAAGGCTAAAATCCTCCATCGGGCCTGCAGGACGCCAAATGCGCGTTCGACATCTTTTCTGAGCGCTTCCTGTGTCTTGCATAGCACTTTTGCTTGTTACCACGCGGTTCTGGTGATGTTTTAACAAATGCAGCCCAGTCAGGATATATTCCATCTGTTAGGCAATACGCCATGTCATACGAATGTCCATTAACTTCGAAATTCACTTGAGGTGCGTTTCCTTTCATTAATTCATCGAACACGGGAGATTTATCGAGAATATTAAGATCGTTTAGCGCTCCAGGCCAGCCAAAGCTAGCGTGCCAAATCCAAAGCTCTTCATCTGCGCACGCCTCCAGAACAACCGTAGGTTTTTTCTCCTTGCCTTTAAACTACCCAGCCCAACCGGTCGGGCAGTTTTGCCACTCCCAGTGCATGCAGTCGATGCTGCACCACATTCCGACAAATCCACGCCGCGCATTTAATTCGAGTAGCCGCTTCATTTCTGATTCCGTAGAAGATCGTAGATATTTGTCACCAAACTGCTTGTCCACGGCATCCACAAAATGACAGACGTTATTGTAGATAACCGCCTTGGACATCTTCAGATTCTCGTCTATAGAATCAGCGAACATTGCGTAAGCTAGACCCCTTAAGGCAGATGTCACCTTCATAAGAGGGTGAATGCCCATTTTCTTTGCTGCATTCGGTCGCTGCTCAAAATACGTAGAATCTGCATCAAGTACACCGTTCAAAACGCGATAAAACATAGTCTTGCTCATGCCAATTCGAATTTTAAAGTCATCATCATCATAGACAGGAATCGGCGCAAAATACTGCTCTACGAAGCGCTGGTAACGCGTCTGAAAGTCTCGGTTCTTGTTGGCACGTTTGCCGGGGCGTGACCCTCCGCGTCGCTGGGCGACAGCATGAGGATCAGGATATAGGAGCTGCTGAATGACAAGATCCTTCTCCTCGTCTTCGTCTTCAATGTCGAGATAAGCCTGGGGGCATCTCGATGCTGCGCTAAACGGATTCACCGACATGGGCTTCTTTTTGTGAGATCTGTGGTGGATTGTCTTCGTTTTGTCCGAGCTGGTGTGGAGTCACAGGTCGATCAAATTTGAGTATGAACATTATTGACCAATATACTCAGGCGGTGTCGAAGTCTAAAGCCCTTAATCCACTTATCTGAAGCTCTAAATCCGTTGATGCCAGCTTCCATGGCAGTCTGACGCCTTTGAATCGCTAGCATTCGAGGCGATACTGGTACACCCTCTTCCCTTAAGCAGTTCATTCACTCCACAATCTCTAATTCTACCTCCTTACTCAGAATCGTTCCTACGCCTAAGCTTCTTACCTTTTGATAGCCACCTTTATTCTTCTTCAATGCTGACCTTAGCTTTGTTTCCTCCCGTCGCCAGCGCTGAATCATAGTGCGCTTTGAGTTGTAAAAATCAGGATTTAGGTCGTGCCAAAACTGATCAGTGGTATGACGCATTTTAGGAAGAGGAGCATTTTCCCAAAACGACAGAATTTGTAGCTTTTTCTGCACCGTGATGCCCTTGACCGTGTGTTTGGTCTGGTGGCGTCCCTTACCACCGACACGTGGTCTGCCCACTGGGCGAGGCTTCGTGCGTGACATGGCAAATGACCGACTGCCGGCGCAAATTTTTCCGCAAAGACTTGGTTGGCTTAGAAATGGTGCATCTCTCTACATGCGATTCCTCAATTCAAGATAGCCGGATGTGATTGGTCAATATCTAGGTGCATCTCATATGAGAGTGCAGCTCTCTACATGCGAAATACGGTATAGCTTTGTATTGTCGCAACTGGTGGAAGTGCTCTAATTATTAAAGTAAGCCTTTCTGGGAACGCAGCATTTTGTAGCTACTGGTCTAAATTAAACCCAGATTTATGAAATTAAAGAAGTCGATTTATGCACATAGGGGCTCAGAGTTTTTGGAATAATTATCGAAGCGGAGGCGGGAAGGCAAACAACTAGAATAAAACCTAAACTAATACCGCCGCGGCTAGTACATGTACCGGTAGCTACAGTAGCAGAACAACCTTCAAACGTTGTGCAACACACAATTCCTACACATTATTATGTAATTTCAACACAATCACTGCCAGCCAAGCATAACGGAGACCATGTACGCCGGCGTGGACAAGTATGGAGGTGCACTGGTAGGTGAGGGTCAACCTGACGGCAGTGCGTCAAGTACTGCTAGCCCCGCCTCTGGTGTATCACTCGAAGACGCAATTGAAACTGCTGCCGCCGAAGAGACTGTCGTTGTGGACGTGCCCTTCTCGTACTTGGAAGACGAAGATGACCCGGAATCCGTGGTCTCCGGTGTGTCCAAGGTGCTTCTATCGGCCCAATTGAACCCCGAAGCCGGTGGCCTCATGTGGGTCGAGCAAAGTAGCCCACAGGAAGCCTACAAGAATGTTGTAGCCATGTCCCAAATGACCTCCATGCTTCGAGATAAAGACCGCAACGACTGCTACGAGCGCGGCATCAAGCGCGCCATCGCCAAATTTAAAGCTGAACGGGGGCGCTCCCCAATAGTACTCGACATCGGCACAGGCACCGGACTGCTATCAATGCTTGCAGCTACACACGGGGCCGAACACGATTACGCGTGCGAGATGTTCGTGCCCATGGCCGAAATCGCCGAGCAGGTTACGACAGCCAACTATCCCGACAAGATAACGGTCTTTAAGCTGCGTTCTACTGATTTAAAGGTCACTCCGGATAAAATACAGGATAAGGATCCCAAGACAACATACCACCTCCCACGACGTGCTGATATGCTGGTGTCGGAGCTCTTTGACTCAGTATTACTGGGTGAAGCGGTGCTGCCCACGATCCGTCATGCGGTGCAGCATCTGCTGACTCCTGACGCTGTGATCGTCCCAGAGAGAGCTGCAGTGTTCGCCCAGGTTATAGAGAGCGAGCCCATCTTCCACTTCAACAGCTTCAAAATACAGGATAAGACCACGGGTCCTAAACTGGCGAGAAGTGACACGGCATGGCAATGTGAAGGCGGCAAACCGGCACTCCCGGTGCATTTCCGCTCCCTGGAGAAGGATTCTACGCTCCTGACGAAGTCCACGAAGGTGCTGAGTTTTGACTTCACTAAACCAACGACGGGGGCTGCACAATACCAGGAGACTGTAGTTGATGTGGTTAAACCTGGAAAGGTGCAAGCTGTGCTCATGTGGTGGGACGTGAGCTTCGATGCTGAAGACAGCGTCGTGTACTCCACGAGACCAGGTGCTCAGAACTGGCAGGACCACTGGGTCCAGGTCGTCTTCCCGCTGGTAGCCGACATTCACACACAGGTTAACGACAAGCTTATCCTGCGTGCTCACCACGACGACATCCGTATCTGGTTCGACGTCGAAGCTGCTCCTGGCAAAGACTTTCCGAAGAAAGCCAAGCGTACCGTGGTCAGTGAGAAGCCTCCGTGCACCTGCGGCCTGCATCTCATCTGCAACGCTGAGCGTGTCTCCATGCTAACAGACACAACACGTCGCGAAGCCTACAGCGCTGCAGTGTCCTCCGCAGTGGCGGAGCTGACCCAAACGGAGCCACTGCGTCCGATTGCGTGTCTGGATGTCAGTGACGGGTCGCTGGGTGCGCTACTGGCGGCTTCCCATAAGCAGGTTACTAGCGTCACCTCCATTGAGTCCAAGGAAGTGTCTGCGCGGATCTTCGACCAGATCTTGACGTACAACGACTCGAACGCCGAGGTGCTTAACAGCGGCGTCAAAGGTCTGCGTCCAGAGCACCTCAAAGACGAGCCGTCGCGTGTGGATCTGCTGCTGGGCGAACCTTTTTACTACTCGATGCAGAATCTTCCTCTCTGGCAGGCATTCAACTTCTGGCTCCGACGGTCAGCGGTGGATAAACTGCTGCACCCAAAGGCTCGTGTGTTGCCAGCTCGCGCGAGAGTTCTGGCTCAAGCTGTGAGGTTTGAGCACTTGCATCAGTGTTTCGGAGCAGTCGGGAATGTTGCAGGGTACGACCACAGCTGCTTCGACCAGTTTCAAGACGAGTACTACACGCGCAACTTTCCCTTTCCTGCCTATATGTACCCATATGAACAAGCCTCGGAGATTGTCGAGCTGGCAGCTCTAGATTTCATGCAGACAGCACACACGGTCGCTACGAACTCCAAGATTGCGCTGAAGGAGCCGGCAGCGAATGCCGTGATTGTCTGGGTCGAATACGACTTGGATGGTGCAGGTCGCCACGTGGTCGCTACTGGTCCTGCCGTACGATACGCAAAGCAGCTCATTCGCTTCCTCCCACCCACGTCACATACAGCCGCTGGTAGGACTTCAAGCCGTTTGGTAGGGTCAAGGTTCTGCTTCGACTCACTGGAAGGCACGATCGATCTCACCTTTGAAGCCAATATGACAATGAATATCATTTGAATTATTCACACACTGTGGTTTTACTATAATGCCCCTTTTGAAACAACGATTTTCTGGATAAACTTTGCGTAAATGACGGCCGCACTGGTATGTATGCCCGCTTCCATCATTTTAACCTCAGTCAGACCTAATATATAAACCCGGTAAAAGCCATGTGGCAAATATAAGCGTGGTAGGTTTAAGTAGCCAAACACTTGAAACATGGCGCGGATGGTGTTGAAAAAAAAAAAGTGTCAACACCATCGTATCATGTTCCACGTCTTGTCCAAGTGTGACTAGTTTGAGAGCCATTGATCGGCTCTTAAGCTATTTACACATCTAGTTTGATTGGCTCCTTTCAACCCAAGCTGAGCCGCTCAATCAGTAACAGTGTATCCCTATCTCCTATAAGCCTCACCGATGCAATCTTCGAGCGTTGGGCATCTACAGATGCCTTAATCATATCTGAAGCCGTACAAGCAAGTATCGTGTCGGCATCCGCCGCACCTGTCGTGGTGACAGCGGTCGGTTTTGATCATCAAGCGCAGGCCTCCAATGCGATGAAGCGCGGCAACACTCGAATGCACGGCCCCACGAAGAAGAGCACGGTTGCCTAGAGGTTCAAGTGGACTAACGCCATGGTGGCGGAAATGCTCCGCCTCCGCGTCGAAGAGAGAGACGTAAAGCGTCACGTGAAGTCTGCCGAAACCAAGACGAGAAGGCGCTGGCTTAAAAGCAGTTTGTCAGCGCGTTTTCGCAGTCGCCAGGTATCGTTAGCAGCCAGAATTACACTTTCAACGCGTGCTTGTAGTCAAACGTTAAAATCTATTTGTTTTTTATGCTTGGTACTGTCAATATCCTAGTGTAATATCTGAGTGGTCGCTGCCACGCGTACTTGTGTACGATTCGCCAGAGTCACGCTCGAGGACGAACAATGGAGCAGAAGCACACGCCCAGAACAGCGATTGGTTCGAGGCACACAGGATTCCCACCCATTTGACGATCTCTCTCTGCACTCCCTGTAGATAGACCGTCTGCATATGATTCTTCATGTTAGTCCGATAAGCCTTCGGTCCAATGCATCATTATCTGTTTTACCTGAGTCTGCACACTTGGTCTTCAGTCTTCAGTCTCGCTTTCTACGCTGCCCGATATCACATTTGGTAGCACTTGGGCTTTTGGGGGAGGAACATCGACTTTCGATGATTTTACTCAAGTTTCGTGGAAAATTCACATCGTATTGTGACATTTCAAATTTCAAGTTTCTGTCTGACCAGCATGGATCGACCTGACCATTTCGCAGCCGCCCTGGCGGAGAGTCTCTCGATGGCGATGAGCCAGTTGTCGGAGCACCTTATGCAGCAGAACCAGCAGTTTCAATCGGCAGTACTGGAGCAAATGACTCAACGTCACCCCGCGCCAGAATTCAAGGTAGAAGGAACAAGCATGCCTCATTTCTCTGACATGCCGGACGAGAGCGTCGATGAGTTCATCTTTCGCGCCAAGATGTTCATGCAAAGAAAGAACCTAAACTACGATGGTTAGCGTAACGACGCCCGGGTTGTTGCTATGCTAGCATCGAGTCTACGCGCTGGTGCTGCGTCGTGGTACCACACCCGCGTCGCTATTGAGCAGCGTCCGATCGCTAACATCTCCGACTTTCACGACGCGTTGACGCACGAGTTTGTTCCGCCGGACCTGCAGTATCGCATCCGCGCCGCCTTGCGGAAGTGTCGTCAGACGAAGGGCATTGATGATTACGTTGCGGAGTTCCGCCGTTTGATTGCACAAGCTCGAGAGATGAGCCAATTGGATCAGATCGATCACTTTTGCGAGGGTTTAAAGCCTGAGACTCGAAAGAAAATCACGTATCTTCGTTGTTCCACCCTGAGCGCGGCTATATCGCATGCTCAAGCTTTTGAGTGGGCCCACTTCGCGCAGCGTTCACGCCAGGATCGTCAACAAGGAGCTGCCTTTGGTGACACGAAAGCCTCACACGGCGAAGGGCAACCAGAGCCGATGGATATCAGCATGGTCAACACTCGCAGCATCTCTAAGGACGAGTGCCGAACTCGGAACCTCTGCTTTTACTGTAAAGCCTCTGGACATCGCATCCACAACTGCCCCAAGAAACCGGTCCAGGGAAACGTGCACGCTCAGCAGATGTAAGTGGAGTATCTGCTGAGCTGGATGTAACATCTGAATCTCCACAAAGAATTTTCGTTGAAACGCCACAGTCTGAGCTGAATACGGCATATGTGGTGATTTTGCACCCGTCGAACTTAGTGGGGCAAGCTACGGTACTGCAACAGTGTCCCCGCTACTTTTTCACGAGGTTCTCGTCAACGGAACGCCTCTCCGTATGCTCGTGGACTCAGGCGCCACGCATTGCATTGTGAAACAAGGCGTCTTCGAGGATCTACCAGGCGCCAGTACAAGTCTTGTCGCTGCTCGTGGATTTGACGGCTCGACGCAGTCTCGTTGAGTACGTACATGTAATTAGGAAGTCAGCTGCAACTGCTGTGCTACTGTCATTACCCCTTTCCTCGAATGGCCTCTGGAGTATACTTACGACGGCATTCTCGGGCAGCCGTGGCTGCGTAGTGCAAACCCCTGTATCGATTGGGGCCGGGGTATCATTAGCAGCCCGCCTCCAACGCCAACCGTTCCCCAGTCGGCTGACTGCGGTGTCACTGGCGTCAGCGGTGCCAACCCTCCCGGTCATGTCACGGAACCCCCTACTGATCAGCTTGAGTGTAATGTACTCAGTATGGATGACTTCCTGGTCGAATTACGCAATGAAGACTACGAGGAAATCTACCGCCTGGATATGAATGCTAGCGTCGTCAAACAAAGTTCTCTACCCGAAATTATCGCACACGTTCTCGACGAATTTGCTGACGCCATGCCAGACGAGCTTCCAGACGGACTGCCGCCGATGCGACCCATTGAACACGATGTAGTAATGAAACCCAGCGCGCAGCCCAGCTCCAGAGCCCCTTTTCGCCACTCCGAGGTAGAGCGTGCGGCACTTAACGACTTCGTGCAGAAGCTGCTTGACAAGAAGTGGATTGAAAAGTCGTTTTCACCGTGGGTCCCCAACATTTTTGCCGTTCCGAAGAAAGACCCCGCGACTGGCTTGATTCCCAAGCACATTGACTGGGTGCACGTCACTGATATCGCCAAGCTTCTTCGCTGGGTAATTGATTGTCGTTATGTTAACAGCATGTCGGTCGTGGCACGCATTCCGCTCCCGTACATTGACGAGATTTTGCCCGCATGGTCGGCGCGGTCGTCTTCTCGACGTTGGATTTACTGAGTGGCTATCACCAGATGCGGCTTTCGCGGCGTTCGCGGATGTACACTGCTTTTCAGGTAAATGACGAGATTTACCAGTGGCTCAGTCGCTCCCATGGGCCTTGCAGGCATGCCTGGCACTTGGACAAAACTGATGAACGCGCTCTTTGGGGGTCCACTTTTTTTCTGCATTTGTTGTCGTTTACTTGGATGATATCTGCGTATTTTCACACTCACTGGAGGAGCACGCACTTCACCTCCGTCAAGTGTTCACTGTGCTCCAGAAAGACAAACTATTTGTGAAGCGTTCGAAGTGACATTTTGCACGCAACTCTGTCACGTTTCTCGGTCACGTAATTAGTGAGCAAGGTCTCTCCGTCGATCCTGACAAGACATCGACTCCCGCGAACTGGCCACTTCCTCAGTCTGCACGGGATCTCCAGCGTTTCTCGTGCTGGCCGGGTATTATCGTCGATTTGTTCCACGGTTTGCTGACCTCGTGGCTCCGCTATCGGACTTGCTCAAAAAAGATGTTGCGTGGGTGTGGACAAACTTGCACAGTCGAGCGGTGCATGCTGTCAAGCGTCATTTACTTTCCGCGCCAATTTTGCGCCTACCCGACCCTGCAAAAGCATTTATTGTGCCTACAGACGCTTCCAAGCTGGCGGTGGGTGGGGTGCTTAGCCAAGAACACAATGGTTTCGATCACCCGGTTGCTTACTTCAGCAAGAAATTGAACGAGAATGAGCAGAAATGGCCAGCGCATGAACAAGCGTTGTTCGCTATTAAGCTTTGTATGGGCAAGTGGCGAGTGTATCTGCTTGGACGCGAGTTCATTGTGCTCACAGACAACTCAGCCTGTCGCTGGTTTCTATCGCACCCTGACTTATCCCCACGCCTGACGAGGTGGCTGGAGTTCTTTGGACAATTTTTATTCAAACTGAAGCATCGTGCAGGCCATCTCAACGTCGGGGCTGACGCTTTCTCGCGACCTCCCATCGAGGCAAGCAACGTAGTGTTTGATAACATGTACGGTTCCCGCTTGGAGAAGATTATTGTTCAAGGGAATCGCGCATTCGGATCTGTGGTGCAAGCAGCTCTAGATATGAACGAGACTACAATGGTGACACAGCTCGATACTGCCTTTCACCGAATGATACTGGACGGATACCAGCACGATCGGGAATTGCGAGGCATTGTCGATGCCTTCAAAAAAGCTCTTCTTACGAGCACCCTCGCTTTTACTATCAGAACAGCCTGCTGAAATTGAAGAACGTCGGCCGTGCGAGCATCACCGTGCTACCTGTCGTCGATGAAATTATACTGCGAGTCCTCCATGATTACCACGACAACGCGATTTCAGCTCACCCGGGAGTGACTCGTACGTATCTGGCTGTAAGGCAATGGTTCTACTGGCAAGGCCTTCGGAAACACGTTGAACAGTTCGCTCTAACGTGTGAATGCTGCGTGAGGAGTAAGAGCAACACCAGAGCTCACCAGGGTTTGATGCAGCCGCTTCCGATTCCAGACTACTGTTGGCAGCAGGTTACCATGGACTTTGTTACAGGTTTGCCGATTTCGAATGGCTACAATGCGGTACTCGTTGTGGTGGATAAACTCAGCAAGCGGCCGTGGTATATTCCGATTACGAAGGACGTGACGGCGGAGGTTACTGCCCACCTTTTCTTCGACCATG